CGATATGTTAGAGATTCGTGGCATATACGGCTGGGCAAGATCTTAAGTGCCTATTTTTTTAAATTTAATTAAACTCAATAAATTCTAAACTTTCTAAACTTTTATTCACAATTACGAGCTGTTTACTTACGATCCATAAACGTAATATTTGAATGATGTATCTAATCTCTCCAATATCCTAATAATAATTAGAAACTTGTATAAAACTTACATTATTGAGGAGATCATAGTCGTCCGACTTTTTCGGTAGATAAACGGCCCGTGTGAGCAAAAGTTTAGAACGATTTATTTAATTAAATTAAAAAGCAAATAGGTGTTCGAAGAATTTTAACCGACTATATATGCATCTCTATTATCTGTAATAATAATATCCTGATATGAACGCACAACATACATGATATGCTAAAATTCATGAAACATAGCATTATTTTTTCCCAAACTTAGAACCAATTTTTTTAATATTCCTCGTTATACTTTTTCTAGAACTAGAATATTTGATGTTTTACTCATTAAATTTAAAATTCTTTTTAATTCCATTTTAAATTGAAAAGTAACTAATATTCCATTATTTACAAGTACCTTAATGAAAAAGTTTTTTATTTTCAATAGTTTACATCAACATAATATTTCGTTAAAGTATTAATAACATTTTAGAAGAATTGAAAATAAAATCCTTTTTATAAAAACAAAAACGATATAGTAGAGTTTTACATTGTGCACTCGTATATTATGTTAGAATTATATTGTATGTGTTACATGTGTGTACAATAAATACATACCAAGATCTTTACCAGGACCTTGTAGTACCCAACTATCAGATGAACCCAGAATACCATGTTGTATGAACACAATTTCCTTTTTCTTCTTGTTATTCAATAATGACCTTCCAGGCATTCTGTGTATTTTCAAATTATAACCATCCTCTGTTGTGACATTATGTTCTTCAGCGGGATAATCATATTGTTCTACTAAACCAATCTATGAAGGAATAACATATATAACGATAGAATATCATCATTTTATTTCTATGATTTCGATTTAAATATTTGTTGAAAAAATATTTAAACAACATTCGCAAAAAAACTTAATATTTATAACAATGATAATTTAAGGTGTCATCCAACATCCGGAAATAGATTAAAATAAATTGAAAATTTCAATCCATTTTAATTCATTTTGGATTGAAAGAATAAAACATTTTGTTTCAATCCCGTTTCATAGATTAAAATGGATTCAAAGAATTCTTAAATTTTAATTGAATTGAAATGGATTAAAAAAATCAAGGATTTAGAATTCAATGACCACATGAATCCATTTCTATCCATTTCAATCCATTTGCTGGGCAAATTATTCAGCTTAATTTACATTTATCTTGTAATTAGTAAAAATAAATTTAAGTTAATATAAAATTTAGACCAATTTAATTACAAATAATTTCTTACTTACAAAATCCAATACTCTTATGTCAGTCATTCCTTCAATTTGATTAATTTTTCTTACTCTTATTAAACCAGGGTCTTTAGGGAAGACTAAATTTAAAATATTTTCTTCGAGAAACATATCTTGTAAGAATTGCGATTTTCCTTCTGAAAATGTCATAATTACAAATGCAACAGACAGACTAGATTTCATATCTAATATTGCCATATCAACTTATTTGTAATTCTAAAGTGTCAATAGATCATGAGAAAAACTTTGAGCAATTATTGGCAATGTTGCTTCAATACTTTTTATGAGACAACTCATTTGCGTATCCTGTGTCTGCAATGAAAAACATGGAATGAAAAACATGTGATGAGTACTGAGAGATCAATAATTCCCATACAAATATAGTTTATTATTCGAAAAAAATTTCAATTTCTTAAAAACCAATTCTACATGTCTTTGATAAAATTAATATGGAAACAATAAAATAGTTAATACTAAAATCCAACAATTATGAATGTGAAAAAAAATATATATATATTAGCACGTTTAAATTTGTTACTTTAGATTCTTGAATTAATGATGTCAAATTCTATATAAGTATAATTTTTAATGGAGTCAGATATAACATATATAAAATGTAGGAAGAGATAGGCAGGAGAGAGAGAGAGAGAGAGAGAGAGAGAGAGAGAGTAAGTAG